ATAAAAATATACTTAATTTAAAAATGTTGACATATAAATGTTCCTCAGCGTTGATGCATCTACTTATATTCTTTTACCTTGAAGAAGCCAACAAAGTCATTTGGTCAAAAACGCGTTTTATGTATTCTCACGTTTATTCTTGAACATTTCTGATTCATGGTAGAAGAAAACAGGTAGATGTATCAACGCTAGGGAACATTGATATGTCAAAAATTTTATTTTGTCATTTTTTTTCTTTAAAAATAAGTAGAGTTGTAAATCTTTTCTTATACCGAGATGTTATTTTATGCATTTTTCAAAAATATTTATTTTATAATTAGTTTGATATTTTATTGTCCCAGTAGCTGTGTCGATGCGACTACCTGTATTCTTGCACAAGAATAACCAACTGGAACTTATAAACACAGTGGGTTCATTTTTATTTTATAGTATAAATGCTCTCTAATTCCCTCAATCATCGTTTAAGAGTGTAGTCTAAATGAGCTTTAAGTTTTTTCAAAGCCTAAATTTGATCAATCGATTGATCAAATCTCGACCTATACATCCCTAATCCACAGTTGGAGAGTTGGATTTCAAATGAACTTCTGTTGTTAAAATTAAACAAAAATTTGCTTTAATGTTATTGCAAAAGTGAAGAAGACAACAAAAGAAAACTCCCTGCTTGACGATCACCAACAAAAGCTAAGTATTAGTGAATATTTATAATAGACACAGTGGATAGGAAAAAACAATTTATTGAAGAAAATATGGACGTACTTATATAAAATGCAAATATATATTATTAAATACAAACGATTTCAATTTCATCTTAAAAACATTCTTTAAAAATACAGGATTAACACTGATGGAATTTTATTTAATAAACGAACATAGTTGCTTTGTACCTTTTAAAAATTTCTTAAAAATCCACAGTAATTACTCTATATGTTATAGAAAAAATATAAAAAATGCCATAATGGGACCTTGAAAATATCCTTTTAAAAAACCGCAATTGTTGCTATGATGGAATTTTTTTCTGAGAAATGCTTTAAGTCCATCACAGAATTAACAGGACCAATAAAAGTCAACAATTACAATGGACAATAGTTAAAATAAAACAAATTTAATGGTGTGGAAATAAATAAACACACAGAGGCTTTTCATACTCCCTCTCCAAACCCCCTCTCTTCTCCCAACACTCACACCCCTGGACATTAACACTTTGTGGCATTCTAAGGACATGAGGAAAATCGCCACATAAAATAGCCAATACTAATAAAATAAAGCACCCAATGACAAATCCATATGCATGAGCCAACCACAAACATACATATGTATGTTGTTCACACTCATACATACATATGTGAGTGTGTGTGTTTTATTGTTAAAATATTCTCTATTTTCTCATTGCAGACAATGGCCTTTGGAAGGAAACCACGAAAAGAAACACTTCTTTTGTATGCAAGAAACAGAAACACTTAGACAGGATTTGTATTTCGGAAAAAGGACTATTTACCCAATTTTTATTTGATGCCTTTTGTGTTTTTTTCTGCGTTCTCTCCCCCCCTTTTCTTGCTTTGCCTATTTTTCGAAGAAATTGTCACCAAATTGTGGGTTAAGAGGTTAAAATACGCCAAAGCACTTAACCACGACAAATTCACTTTAAAATCGTATTGTTCATGGTTTGACAAGGGTTGGTAGGAGAGAGGAATGATGTGAGAGAGGGGTGTTGTGAAATAAAAGAGGAAAATAAAATTAGGTTTTTTTTTTCGAAAAAAAAAAAAAAATACAAAAAAATCGAAGCAACAAATTGACTGTAAACAGCATTCATTGATGCTAGTAACTTGGTGGGATGTAGTACTCCCCCCGCGTCCTCTCCTCCCTCGTTACTCATTTATTTGCTCGTCGTGATGTTCATTTGAGTTCGAACAAGTCTTTGGGATTCTTTCACGTTTTTTTTTTCTGCTAAAACTTGGTCCCCACTCTCTTTCCCTTTCTCTCTCTCACTACCTCTGTGTGTTCTGTCATTTGTTATGCATTTAAACCAAAAGCCATTGATGCTCTGCCATTGCCATTTATAAATCCTTCCAAGTCAGGAAAATTCATTAGAAAAATTCCTGTGGCATTGTCTTCATTATTGGTGTTAATCTAAAAGCGCAAGGAAGGAATTTATGATAAGGAAAAATATTTTTGCCATAATGGAATGGAGAATAAGGATGGGATTTGCATAATAATGAGGAAACGAGTGCGTTCGCAAGAAAAAATAACAAGAACAACAACAACGATTAAAGGTCATTTGGCTAACAATTATGAATTGAAGGACATTTGCTAGAAAGAATAATATTTAAAATACGGAATTATATGGGAATTAAATGCGGAAAATAAATTGAAAAAAATGGAGATTTGGGATATAGATCTCTTGTAATTTTAAGATTAAAATTTTTATATGTGATGTCAAATTATGTAGTCCTCCTTAAATGTGAGTAAAAAAATTAGATTTATTTCCGACCAAATAAAGGGTAAACAAATAAAAAAACCGAACTTTAAATACCCTCCACCATTTGCAACGAATTTGGCAATTTTCAAAAAATAAAATTCATTAAAAATTCTGTTAAAATTTTATAGATACCTAATGTAGAAGCTATTTTAGGGTCTATACGACGACGTGGACCTGCATAGGCAACTTCTGTCATAAGCCATATACAATATTCAAATGCCAAACTAAAAAAATCGGTAAATAATGTATTTCATACCGAATAGAGGGAGGAAACATTTTTTGGGCGGCTATACCAAAACGTGGACCTGCACAGACAATTTTCTGTCTTAGGCTGTAGTATCCATTACGAACTTGAAATACCAAATTTGAAACAATTATGGGGAATAATGTCGCTAAAATTATCAAAAAACCGAATATCGGGAGGTACCGTTATATGAGGGCTATACGAAGACGTGGACCTGCACATAAAATTTTCTATCATAGGCTGTAGTATCCATTACGAACTTTAAATACCAAAATTGAAAAAATTCTAATGAAAAATGTTGCTAAAATAATCAAAATACCGAATATCGGGAGGTACCATTATATGGGCGTTACACCAAAACGTGGATATACATGGCCCATTTTCAATACCAAAAGTATATAAAAAGTATATAAAAGTATATACCAAAAGAATATATATACTTTGTGGGGTCTAACATGTATATTTCGTGGTGCTACAAACGAAATGACAAACTTAATATACCCTCCATACTATGGTGGAGGGTATAAAAATCAAGGAAGAATATAAAGCTGGGAATACATAAAGCGCTTATTTGGATGGCTTAAGTCATCGGCTGGCTTCTTCGGAAATGAACAAAGGAGCCTAGGGTCAAAATCGAACTAAGTCAACCTAAAACTCGTTTGTTCCTCTACGAAGAAGCCAGCCGATGACTTAAGCCAGTCAAATAAGCGCTTTATGTATTCCCAGCTTAAGTCTTGTAAGTCATGCTTGATTATGGAACAGTTGAAATGTTTGTTCAAAGTAAAGGCAGACTTTCCATTTCTATTTACAATTCTAGGACTACACAATATGCCACTCGTCATACGTAAATATTTCAGATATTAAAAATGACAAGGTCGAGCAACTCAGAAAGGGTTGCCATGTTCGATTTAGCAAATTTGTCTACATTATTTTGCCATGCCTAAAAGAGTGGATAAACCGTTTTTATACCTCCCACCATTCTCTGGAGCTTATATGAGCTTTGTCATTCCGTTTCTTAAAGCACAGATTTATTGCCAAGTCCTTTTCCAAAAAAAAAAAAAAAGATATTGGAGACTCTTTTCATTTTTTTTTATAAATTTTATTTAAAAATTATGTAGGTCCTTGTAACAATTTATCAAGAAAATGCACACTGGTACTTAGATAAATCCACGTTGATCTAAAAAAAAATTTCAAAAAAAAAAATCTTTAAAAAAAGTCTCTATAAAAATCCATGTTGGTTCTTAAAAAAATTCTTCAAACAAAATCTTAAAAAAAAAACGCTGATCCTAGAAAAAAGAAACGTTAAATTTCCTATTAAAATTGTAATTTTTTCCTTGGCAGTTTGGGAATCTCTGCCTTTTTAGATCATTAACCAACTAATATTATTCGACTTTGACATTGACGGTGAAGATTTTTTTATCTTTGATACCAAAAATCTGATGAATCATGGTAAACCATCAGCCGAGTACAATGGATTGTCTAAAATCTTGGCTCAATTAAAAATTCTTTAATACAAAAAAAAAAAAAAAAAGAAAAAAAAAACAGGTTGTGAAGGGATCGATTTTGATGTTTGATACGCATGAACGGCGGCAAAGAAGAAGAACAAAAACTTCTTTTGAAATTTATATTCAAATTTGAATTAAGAATACCAGAGAAGAGAGTCCAAAATGGATCATATTAATTAATTAATTAATTAATAAATCAAAATTATTTAAATATGCTGGAATTTTAATTTTGCGGGTCAAAGTAGTCAAGTGTCACATTTTGTGTTTTTTCTCATTTCTAGTTTTTATTTTATTATTATTTTATCATAATAAAAATTATAAAAAAAAATTAATTTTTATTTTCTTTGTATTTTTGTCTCAAATTATATTAAGTTAATGCAAGTGCATTTCGAAAAAAAGCTCCCATTTTTATTACTTTCAATTTTCAAACAATTTGTTTTTCTCGAATACATCTGTGCCTGTGCCCTCCTTTGCATTGTAATGCCGAACAAAACAACAAAAATTAAAATTAAAAATTCAAATTTGGTGAATTAAGTCGTCCACACGTTTTGTTTAACTGATCATCGCTGTTGGGCATAACGGCATGTGTCAAAACCCTAAAAGCCACGGCTATCTCATCTATTCACACGGCTAACCAACCACATGCTTTGTTGGTATTACACGCTCAAGTGATTCCCCTCCAAACCCCCATCTCATTCGTAGACCAAAATAAAAACGTTTGTTGGCTTTTGGAATCTTGGCCGAAAAAAAAACAGAAGAGAATTTCAAAATTTTATTTTAAACTTAAATGTTGGCCCAATAAAACGCACATCTCGCGGGAGCTGAAAGAGAAGTTCGAAAAAAAGTTAAAATAAATCCAAAAAAATATAAGATAAAAATGCAAATAAAATCCGATTGCATTTAAGTGACCGAAAAAGTGAAGACAAAATGCGGAATAGTTTCTATGAAATTGCCATCATTTGTAAAAAGTCCACGTTCTAATGCGCCAATAAGAAACCAAAGAAACAAATCTAAAATCGCTCAAAGATAAACATCTAAGCAGGCGAATGAATGGTGGTCATTATTGCCAAGGAACGAGAAAAAATAAAAAAAAAATACGAAAAATAAATACGAAAGCCAAATAAAATCGTAGAGAAAAAGAGGAAAAAATTATATAAAAATCAAAAAAATTCAAATTTGTATTTAAATCAAACAAAAGTAGTTAAATATTACACAACAAGCTATTATAAATGCCACTATTTTTTTAAAGTGAATGAAAACTGCAGTGACCTTGAAAAGAGCTTAGTGTGCCCTGAATTGCAAAAAATGAAAAAATAAATAAATATTTCCAAACCAGGGTAAGTTAATACACGGTCGAACTACGAAGGTAACTCTATGCAATCATATGTTTACATATTTATTTTTCAAAAATTTTTATTCTCTGAGTAAATAAAGAAATATTCTCTATCCGCTAGGAAATCTGATAACAGTCCAAAGTCTGAAGTGCCATTTTCTACATTTTCCACCGAAAAAATAACTACACAATCAGCTGATCGGCGTTTATATGCTCCTAAAACTACGTTTAAACTTACTAAATCGTTTGCATTTCAATTGTCAATTCCATTGCGTGTACTTTAAAAGAAATCAACTTGAAACTTTGACAATCGATTTAATTTTACGTATACGAAATGGAATTGATAACTATCTTGCCAAGTTCGTCTCTATAAATCCCTTCTTAAGTCGCCTTCAAAGACAAGGAAGTGTAAAGATAGGACAAGACATAGTCAAAATATGGCAACCCTGTGAAAATATCTCTGTTGTTACGATATCATAACAACAAAGTTACCAATGCAAATTTTTGGAAAGGTCTACGGAATAGAATTTTGAACCACGTTTTTGGATTTTTAAGCTTTTGTTTATCATTCGTTTCCTAAAGACACCATCCAAAGTCGTACTTACAGAATTGATGGTGGCAATCTACTCTATTTAATATTTGTAAACGTACTTTAACAGCATATCTAAGCACACTATGCTTACGAACTAGATCCATGGTAAAGAACATAGGTAGTCGTACCGACACAGCTGCCGGAACAATGAACTGTCAAATCGAAATTGATATTCAAATTAGTAAAATTGTTTAAAAATGTAAATTATAAAAAATTTTGGCATGTCCATGTTACCAAGCGTTGATGCATCCACTTTTATTCTTCTACCATGGATTTAGGGTGGAAATACATAAAGCGCTTATCTGGCTGGCTTAAGTCATCGGCTGGCTTCTTCGTAGATGAACAAAGGAGTTTTAGGTTAACTTAGTTCGATTTTGGCCTTAGGCTCCTTTGTTCCTTTCCGAAGAAGCCAGCCGATGACTTAAGCCAGCCAGATAAGCGCTTTATTTATTTCCACCTTTATTCTTCTCGCAACAATCCCAACCCTCAAGTGTTTTCACAACGGCGTTGTTTACATTTTCCCCCGAAAAAACCCCAAAAAGTCAAAATTATTGAAAAACAGCTGATCCTCCTAAGAGTGTATCTAAACACACAAGGTTTACCCACTTGATCTATAAAACTCAGAGAATTAACCTTCAAATATACTTTTAATATACTTTTTCATGAAAAAACGCAGCGGAAAAAAATATTTTACAAAGGAATATTGAAATCATTTTTTTATTAAAAAATTAAAATAAAGTATTTGTATTCAATTTAACCATTCAAAACCCCAGTTCAATGACATTTTCTACAATAAAAAATGATTAAAAACAACAACTCATTGATGAAATCAAACACAATATTTGAAGAATCTCCAGTGTCTATGTTTATAGCAAAACCGGTCCAGAGAGTTCAGTTACCGAAATATTTTTTATTTCGGTTGCGAGAATCTAGCTTACAAGTTCAAGGTCAAAAATATGGTTTAATGGCAAACATTTTATTCCAATCTAAACGTGTCGTCAATATTTAAAAAACGGCGATAATTAATTTTTGTAATTTACGAAATTGCTTGTCAAAATTTGTATTAATTAATAAAAATAAATGAAAAAAAAAAAAAAAAAAAAACAACGGAATGATACAGTGGCATATGTGCATACGCACATAATAAATTCAGCGAATTTCAACTGTCAATTCCATTGCAAATATGTCAAATGACATTCAGCCTATTTGACAGAATAAGAATTTGTCACAGAGTTGTATTTTTCTAATACCCCTCAAAGTCAAACTACTTTCCGTTTGGGTCATGACTCCAATTATATCACGACAATGTCACAAAAGTTGTTTTGAAAACTCGTATCGATGTATTTTTAAAACTTCTTTATAGACACATCTGATTTCTGCAAAATTCTCTATTAAAAATCTATAATTGTGGGTCAAAGTACAATTTTATTATATTTATATAGAGATCTGTAGATCGACTCCAATTATCATTCGCTAATGAGATATTATTGTAAAGTTGGCTGCGTACCTATCGTTTGCCGGAAGCCACTGAATTTTCATTTTTCACTCTAGGTTATTTAATCAAAGCGTTAGTTATCTTCATCTTCTTTAAAGTCCAGTATATTTATATATGTTTTTTTTTTGTTGGGCTTCACAATATTCTGATCTTTAGAGGGCTACCTAAATACAACTAAATAAAATGTATATAGATATATTATGTTTGGTCAAATAACATTCGCTGATGATAGAACATTGTGAAGTTCGCTGCATACCAATTATTTGAAATATACCGCTGAATTCTCCTTTTAAATTTTAGTTAATTTTTCTGACAGTTATGTTTGTGGTATCATAACAACATTCATTTAAACCGCAATGTCAATATTAAATTAATTGCTTACCATAATGGTTGTTGCTTACCTGTCATGAGCTGTTCCTCGACATATTATAGCCAGCTACCATTTTCTCAAAATGTTTTTCGCAAGTCTTTTCGCATTTATGTCTTTGTCTTCACAATAACTGTCTTCAAAAATTCGCTCTTATAACCCCCATTTATACTTTTATTTTAAAAATAACAAAAATATCTTTATACATATTTTTTTGTGTTATTTGCTCTACACCCTCTTTCAATTGGTATTTTCATATTAACTCTAAAGATTCCTAATAACCCCTCTCTATAACTACCTTCTCAATTTCGTATCTATAGATCACTTTTTAAGTCGCCTTTACAAGTCATCCCTAAAGACACCCTACAAAGTCGTAGTTAAAGATCCCTATTCAAGTCTTCTCTGTAACTGACTTTAAAGTTGTCTTCGTAAAACGGAAAAAGAAGTCGTCTCCACAGATAGCCATAAGAACGAACCTCTGCCAAAAGAATAAACTTTCAAAGAAGACTACAAAATCAACTCCCTTACATATCCTTTCCCAAAGATGAATCGTCAGAAAGTTAATTGAACGTTAAGTCAAATGCACTCAAACCAAAGAAAGTTTGACAAATTTGCGAAGTAGCAGCCAACATTTACACTCTGTCGGCATATTTCACACCCCTCCGGTGGCCGGGTTAGACAGCCAATGGAAGGAGGCATAAAACATCTATTACTCAACGCTTTTTATTTTTCTACAGCAACAGGCTGCTGTGTAGTGGAAAAAAAGGAAGCAACAGGAGGTTTTTTTCCAACAGCCGAACAAAAACGAATGCGGAAGCTCCACACACACTCGCACACATGCAGCGAAACAAATCTTATTGTTACGGATGTGTGTGTCCTTTCGTGGACGAAGTTTGGCACGAAGCCAACTTCACACTCATTCTCCGATTGCATGTGTTTGCCTAGGGGGTGAATTTTGTTGAAATCTGATATAATATCCGTGGTGTTGACTCCAACAAGTGGAGTCTCAGAGCTGCATTGGTATTAGTGTCAGCTATCAATGGTACGTACGTACCATGGCGTTGTTTCAGCCGCCAGAATCCAACATCCTTTGTCGCAAAACTAACAGCAGCCAGAATTAATCATTTGCTGAATTCAGTGCGAGACGAGATCTCGTTGCTGTTGGTAGTGTTTTCTAATTTCTCTTCTTTAAAATAAAATAATAAAAACCAAACCGAACTCTTAGGAAAAAATTGAAAAATATAAAAAAAAAATATAAAACAATAGAATTAAAAATAAAAATAATTTATTTAATTTTCCCTTAAAAATAATAACGAAAAAAATAGACCAAAACTAGTAGATGTGTTTTCAAGTGTTGTAGTGACTCTGTACTTGAATTTTTGGACAATTTTTTATTATTGTAGTGAATAATTATTTTTGTTCCCGTATTAACTATCTAGTGAATGTGAAAAGAAAGACTTTTTGTTAATATCTTAAACTAAATTTGTAAATATTTTTTTGTCGAATTTTTTGTTTGTGAGACCAACGATTAAAACGACCCAAGTAACGAAACGAATAATTTAAAAACGAAATTTATAAAAATAAAACTATGTGATCAACTGATAGCCGAACGGATAGAGGGTGTAAGTTGAACTTTTTTAGAATAAAACATGTTTAAAATTAATAAAACATATTTTTTGATATTAAAATAATACCGAAAATTATTTTTATCAAATTGGAGTGCCATTAATTCAAAATTTTAATTTAACTAAAAAATATAAATCCAAAAAAAAAAAAAAACAAATCATTTTCAATTTTTTTGTCCATTTTGATTTTTTTAAATTCCATGTTGCCTCTTCGTCCTTTGAAGGACTACGGTATAAAAAACACTAATGTCTTTCCATATTTTTATTATTTATGTAAAATACTCTTTAAAAATCCATGTTTCCGAGTCAAAATTAAATATTTACATTTATATAGGGATCTTTAGTTCGACACCAATTATCATTCGTTAAAGTGATAATATTGTGAAGTTGGCCGCACATCTATCACGTATCGGAAGCCACTGAATTCCCATTTTTTCTCGCTAAGATTATTTCATGAAGGCGTTAGGTATCTTCATTTTCTTTAACGTCCGGTATATTTATACAGAATACCAGAATTTCTGAAAAATTTCGCGGTGTTCTGATCTTTAGAAGGTTGCCTAAATACAACTGAATAAAATTTATATAGATTTCATTAGTTCCGCTTCAATTATCATTCACTGACAAGATAATATTGTGAAGTTGGCCGAAGATCATTGAATTTTTGGCGTTTTTGCTGTCTATCTAATTCTTAAGTTAGAAGTTTTTCCCCTTCTCTACAGTCTGTTATTTTTTTTTAATTCCCAGATTTTGTGGCTGGGATCACTTTTTTGCTAGTTTAGCCCAAATTTGTCTTTCTCCCAGTCAAAGTATACTCCTGGCAGTTTTCTTTGCGTTGGAACATATTTTTTTACATTGTGAGATTGTACTTTAGAAGCTAATATCTCCGCCAATTTCGATAAAGTGAAGGAAATTCAATCCTTCCATATTTTCAAAAAAGTATTCTGACATTCTTCTAAATATTCTTTAAATTTTTTTCGCAATTAAAATTTCTGTATTAGATCATTTGAGACAAATTTTTGTAGGTATCTTAAGACATTTTTTAAACATTCTATGAGAGATAATATTGTGAAGTTGGCCGCATATGTCTTGTCGTATCGATACAGCTTTATTGGCGTTGGTAGAGATCGGACCATTCCTTCTGGTATCTCCCCCACATAGGGTTCAAGATTTTGAAAACCCAAACGCTCAAAGAAAGCATTCAACTCTCTTCAAATTTCACACATCCCCTTCATGAAGCGTCAACAGTTTGAATAATCATAACTCAGATCTGGGGGTATATATCTGTCGGCAAAACCGACTGATACTATTTTTCTTGTTTCATCCTAATGTCCTTCATAATATTTTTTACAACTTTTGAATAAGTTAAAACTCTATATTTCTTTGAAGTATATTCATAAAAATTCAACTGAGTCAAGCTTATATAGGCATCTTTAGTTCGGCCTCAATTAACACTGTGAAGTTGGCCGTAAATCACTGAATTATTATTTTATGTAGACAGTTATCTTTTTCTTCCGTTCAATCTGATGTTTCCTTACAGAATCCCTTAGACTTTGCGGAATGCATAAAAAATTCCCGACAAAGTCTGCTTTTCCTATTTTTTTCGGTACTTTAAAATGTATGATCTTCCCTTATAACCTTTAATCCCAACTTTTTTGGGTAATCTAGATCTGCTTCTAATTCGATCCATAAGGGACATTTTTTTATTTATATTCATATAATCGAATTAAACAAATCAACGCATTTTTTTATTTCCGAAAGTCAAGATATTTTTCAGTAACATACATAGCTTTTCCTAATGTCGAGAATTATTTTTAATTTTTTTTTCTGAGTTATCTAAATAAAATAAAAATGTAACTCCCATGGTACAATGAAGAGAAGGTAGGTCAACTTTGAAAATATTGCAAGTATATAGCTCTACCTGTTTGGCTTGTAATGTCAAAATTAGTATCAAAACATTAAAAAATTAAACAACTTGTTGCACTTATTTTGAATAAATAATTGAAAACCGCGATAACTGAATGAAAGTTCAACACTTCTTTTCAAAACCAGGTTCTATATATCTCTAAAGGATTATTTCGCTAAAAAACTCTATATTTTGTCGATGCATACGATGAAATAAACATTTTGAAAACATCCGAATTTGAATGTTTTCTGAACAATTTTTTTGTTATTGAAAAGAAAACACATACATAAACAAATAAAGATGACATATTAAGCCAAGAAAATAAAAAAAATTGAAATCATATTATTGTACCATGGTAACTCCTATTTTTGATGCTTCTGTATTTGAAGTTTATTTTAATTCCATTTTGAAAAAGTTTTAGCTACCAATACTGAGTAATATTTTGGTAAATAGTACAGTTTTTCGTTTTCTCAATGGAAAAATGCCACTGGATAATATTGTGCAATGACATCTTTAATGGTCATGGTTTAACCAATCTAAACGTTATTTGCTGTAAAATGCCTTGCATTCCCATAAATTGTGGCATGCTTTTAGGCGCTCACTCTTATGCCTTTTGCCACTTGTCAAAAGAAAACTTTGGCAACAATAAAACCTCAATTTTCTTCTCAAATTATTTACTAACAATCAAGTACCGTTAAATACCAATGTTTATTGAAAAATCAAACCACATGTTGATCAGAGATATATTTAAATCTCACAAACCAAACCACCAATCCTTTGGTGGGTAATTATCTGTTAAATAACAAATAAACGTTGGTTACAACAACATTGTAAGCGTACAGTGCACCACATTTACACCCCTTAATTTCGTGGCTACAATTAACATAAAACAATTAAATTGATTGTTGTTATTATTGGTTCTTGGACAAACAATTAAGAAGGAAGGGGGGGGGGGGGGAAGGGGGATTTACGTTTTGTATTGACCCCAAATGTGGACATTTGTTTAACAGGGATTTTAATATTTAAATAATAAACATTCATTGATTTAAATTGACCACTTGCTATTTGGATAATGGAAGAGGTGGAGGGGGGTGGTGGAATCCAAAACTTGTACCCTTGCTATCTGATTTCAAGTATTTTTAACTGCTGCTGACAGTGATGTTGTCGTCGTACTTGAGGGTACTTGTTGGTGGTGAACCGACCGACCGACCGACCGACCACATGAATTGTGTTGTGATATCAATGAGGGGAAATGTGTCTGTGTGTGTATGTGTGGGGTTGGTGGTCATTATCATTGGTCGTTCTATCAATTGACCAGAATCAGTAGACAAGTTAAGCACTTTTTCGATGTTTTATTCTATGGGGGTTGTGGGAGTTTTGACAGAATGATTATGAATATGTTAATCCGAAACGGAGTTATAAAGAAGGGTGTATGGCTTTGACAGTTGATTTGGATAGTCAACAAAAAAAAAAAAAAAATGGAAAGGGAGGAGAAATTGTAAAAATAGAAATAATTTTCTGTCGTAGTCTGGAGTATCTGTTCCGAACTTCAAACACCAAATATGAAACAATTCCGGTGAATAATGTAGCTAAAATCATCTAAATACCGAATATCGGGAGGCATTGATATATGGGGACTATACGAAGACATGAAGCTGCACAGACAATTTTCTGCCTTAGGCTGTAGTATCCATTACGAACTTCAAATACCAAAATTAAAACAATTCACTAAAATCGCCAAAATACCGAAATATGGGAGGTACCATTACATGGGGGCTATATAAAGACGTTGACCTGCACAGACAATTTTATGTCTTTGGCTGTAGTATCCACTACCAACTTCTAATACCAAATTTGAAACAATATCGGTAAATAATGTCGCTTAAATGATCAAAATACCGAATATCGGGAGGAACCGTTCAGACAATTATCTCTCATAGGCTCTAGCATCCATTGCGAACTTCAAATACCAAATTTGAAAGAATTCCGGAGAATAATATCGCTAAAATCATTTAAATACCGAATATCGGGAGATATCGTTTAATGGGGGCTATACGAAGACGTGGACCTTCACATACAATTTTCATTAATAGGCTGTAGCATCGATTCCGAACTTCAAACACCAAACTTGAAACATTTCCGGTTAATAATGTCGCTTAAATCATCTAAATAACGAATATCGGGAGGTACAATTATATGGGGCTATACCAAAACGTGGACTTACATAGCCCATTTTCAAAACCAAAAGTACTGCAGACATAATATACATTTGAGTAAAATTTTATCATTCTACTTAATTTCGTTCGGAAGCTAGAGTGATTTCCATAAACGAACGGACATCGTTAAATCGACTTAATATACCCTCCATACGAGGGAGGGTGTAAAGGGTGGAGGGTGTAAAAATAACAATCTTAAAAATTACAGCTAAAAAAGTAGTGAAGGGAATACCATGAAGGTGAGAATATATAAAACGTTTTTTTGCATGGCTCCTTCGGAAAAGAACAACGGAGGGTAGGGCCAAAATCGAACCAAGTCAACCTAAAACTCCTTTTATGCTCTACGAAGAAGCCAGCCAATGACTTAAGCCAGTCAAAAACCTTTTAAGGTGAGAATACATAAAAGGCTTTTTTGACTGACTGGCTTCTTCGGAAAAGAACAAAAGAGCGCAGGGCCATAATCGAACTAAGTAAACCTAAAACTCTTTTGTTCATCTACGAAAAAGTCAGCCGTTGACTTAAACCTGTCAATAGAACTTGTATGTATTTTTACCGTTATGTACTCTCACTCTAAGAGCTGACTGAATTTAGGGGGGTTCACACTTTGAGATGAACCATTAAATCAATTGCCACTAATGTTTTCAAAACTTTCACAAATTACTCCCAACCGTATAATAATTTATATTTATTTAACAGTGAATGGAGAACATTCCGAGGTTGCTTCATTGAGTTTTTAATTTATTATTTTTTAAAAAAGAAAAATATGCAGATAATCCTTTTATAATTCTTCTTTAAAAAGCTTTCGTTTTTCATTTACTTCATTAACGATCATCTCAATTGCGGTGGAAGATTATAATAACAATTTTCTCATGCTTTTCTTCTTCTTCTTTTATACCTTTTGCGATAATCTCCCACAGGAATTCTTCGATTGAAATATTGCAGCCAATAAATAAAGCCAAGCAACCGCAAGTCAAGCCAGCAATAATATCAACAATAGCTACAAAAAATATCCCGAAACCGTAACCGTCAACAATCATAGACAAGCAGACATAACCCGCAGAGACCAGTTGAATATCCTTGAGGATTTGCTCCAATAAACATTAAACGCAAACATTGCACAAGAGACTTCCACATTTCTGTTTTCTCCGCCGACACAATTCAGACAACAGCAGACATCAACGTCAAGGTAAAACGCTTCAGTTCCAGCATTTCAACATTCCACAGCATATTTGTCAACAATATTCACATCGTTTTCATTTGAACACCACCTTCGTTCACCTCATCAGTTCTTTTTCATTGGGCGCCAGGAATTATTTTCGTGCTTGTCTGACATTCACATCCTTGAGCCAATATTGAATACAAAGCATCCAGCCGGTAAAGCGCAGCAACGTACACGAAATCTACAAAATATCTCAAACAAGGTAAGTCAAGAAGGTGAAAAAACACACACACAACTGGGAGGGGGTATTCCGACTCTTTACATTTAACTTGACGGTATTGCTTTAAATTGTCTGTCTCTTGGTCTATTAATATCCATGTGATTTTTTTCTACATGAAATTGTAAATACTCAAGGGACTACAGTACCGGCAATGTGAAATCCTTGTCATCGTCTGCGGCTGGTCCTTGGTGTAAAATAAAATATTTGATTTTTCTCTGAAGTTGTTTTGCTTGAAATTTCATGGTGTAGGCAACAGGTGTTCTACAATTATTATTGAAGTCATTAAATGAATTTAAGTGTAATAAGCAGAGGGGGGAGGAGATAACTTTCTTTATCAGGAGAGCAATTAATTCATGCATTATCCATAAGTATTTGAATGGAGTGAGAAAGATTTTTCTTTAATTAATTTTTGTGACATATGTTGTGGGAGAGCGCAAATATTTTCTGTAAAAGATTGAGAGTTGCAAGGTGACATCTGTTGATAGAGGATGGAGGGAGTTTGATTTAAAGTTGGGAAAATTGACAAGTATTACAATTTACCTTTAAATTAATTTCGTAGACACATTTGGTCTATTCCAGAGAATGTAAAAGTTTGTACTACGATAACCGATTTCCCCCTTATGATATCGAAAAAAATTACAAAACTAGCAGATTCTTGCAGGTACTGCAACGGATCAGTTCTTTGTGATATAAAATCTTTGATTCAGTGTAAATAGTATAATAAATGTTATTATTTTTTTATAAAGCTTAAAGTGCGAATCCCCTTAATAATATATAATAAGATACCAAATCAGCAATTAACCAATAGCTATCTATGGGATATAAATTAAAACTCTTATGAATTACTCCAATATACAAAATCTAGGATTAACTACCGTTTCTTTTATTTCAATGGACGAAAAAAATGGCACTAATTTCAACAACAAATAGGAAACACAAGGTACGAAAAAGACCCATTCGCGTTGCCATCTTCGCAGATTATTTCTCTTCAGTTATTCATGATTATGAGGAGAATTATATCTCGTGAAAAATGTTTTCGTCGAACTAGAATTCCGAACGGATATCTATGATTAGTCGGAATATAATTTTGTAAAGTTGAACTACAACATGTTTTATTTTTTGTTTTAAATTCATGAATAAATATATTAGGTTAAGTGAACGTAAACGTCTTGTACATCCACACCTAAATTACCCCTCTTAAAAAGATTCGTAATTTATTTGACGTATAAATAAAGGTGGGAATAAATAAGCGCTTATCTGGCTGGCTTGAGTCATCGCATGGCTTCTTCGGAAATGAACAAGGAGCCTAGGGCCAAAATCGAACTAAGTCAACCTAAAACTCCTTTGTTTATTTAAGAAAAAGCCAGCCGATGAGTTAAGCAAGCCAAATATGCGCTTTATGTATTTCCACCCTAAGAATCTAAATAACGCCTTTTACTAAAATATGTTTTGTATATGAGAATACATAAAAGGCTTTTTTTGACTGGCTTTTGTCATCGGCGAAAATGAGCGTAGGGAAAAATCGAACTAAGTCAACCTAAAACTCCTTTGTTCCTCTACAAAGAAGCCAGAAAAGCTTTTTATGTATTTCACTTTTAAGCACGCCACTTGGAACCAAAAGGTCTGCTGCAGGTCTATGCAAGTTATTTTTTTTCCAGTTCCATAGAAAGAAGTTTTACTTTTAGGAAGTTGTAAGGCTCTGTAACACCTCTAGTCTTTATTTTATTAAACATCGTCCTTAAATACAGGAATAACGGTACTTAATCCTGGATTTTGTTTACTTTTTTATCCTTGAAAGCAACATTAACAAGCCTTAAAACTTCAACTGTCTATCGGCTAATCTGATATCAGTGATAAATATTAGGGTAGTTCACATGCACTACTTTATCGTTTTTAACATGGTAGAAGAATATTGGAACAATGAACTGTCAAACCAATTTCGGAATTGAAAATGTTGAATGAAAAATTATTTAAATTTGAAAAAATAGTTAAAAAACGCGAATTATAATAACCTCCGAATTACGTCGTATAAGAAAACTTATAAAAATCTACTTATATTTTGAAGGAACATTTAAAATTTTTTGACATATCAATGTTCTCATACATCTACCTGTATTCTTCTACCATGGTTTTTGGCGTCTGATTTACACCGACGCCTTAATTTCGTGTTTTACAAAGATTTGCCAACTATTTGACAATGTAACTGACAATATAAATAACACGTTTTATTAAAATATGATTGGTTAAAATAAGGGTATATGTACTTATCGGCGTTTAAATACGTCACTTGACACCAAAAGTTTATTGCAGACACAGCGGGTTGCCTGTGCAAATTTATTTTTATTTCCAGCTGTTGGACAATTTATGCTCTGCAATAATTCTAGTCTTTATCTCATAATCATTGTTCACATATACTAAATATAACGGTACTTCATCCAAGATTTTGTTTATTTTGTCCCATGGTAGAAAAATACAGGTAGATGCATCAACTTTCTTTTCAAATATAAGTAGATTTTTATATTTTTTCTAATACGACGTCATGCGTCATTCAACATTTTCAATTCCAAAATTGGTTTGACAGTTCATTGTCCCAGCAGCTGCGTCGATGCGTCTACCTATATTCTTCTACCATGTTTTGTCCCTTAAAATAAAAATTCTTAAAACTACAGCTGATGATGATAAACAGCTGATAGATATTAGGGAAGTTCACATACATACATTTCTCGTTTCCAAAGTATACTTTACACACATTTAAAAGATGATATTTTTCGAATATACGTCAATTATTTGTAGTATAATCAATATAATTGACAGTGTAAATAGTATATTTTATAAAAACATGTTCGTTGTAAATAAGGCTTTATGTGCTTGCAAACGATTTGCCATTTTACATATGACTAATAATGTTTGCTATCACACACTTGCTATCACACATTGACTGTCTTGTGGATTTGAAAATATTTTGGTTTCTTCACTGAAAATATTTTGATATTTTCCCTGGATTTTTTAAAAATGTTGATTATTTAGCACAGTTCCAATACCTAATATTGTAAGAATATGAAATATATTTGCTGGTTTCTCTATCAATTCGATTTGGGCCACCTGTTTTTTCCTTGATTGCTAGAAAACACTCATCGCTTGCAATAATAATAATAAACGCCAGTCTTCTAAAGCTGTAATAGAATCATTAAATTTCTTACAATATTTATGCCAATGTAACAATTTAATTATGTCCGACTTTGAGTTATGGGAATTGGAATAGGTATTTATAACATACCAATTACAACGAACGAACGAACGAACGACCGGCGACTCCGACAACCCTCAACAACAATTAGCTGCATTTAAAACCGTTTCATATTGGAAACAAACCTGGGGCTGGGGTTTTAAAATAATTAAAAACACATAGCCAGCCAGTCAGGCTCTCTTCGAATGCTCCGACAGATGTTCGAAGGGAATAAAAAGTAATTACAATTATTGCTAATTTAATTTGGAAAACAAATTCAGAAAATACAAACAAATGCACAGCCGAACAGTGGAACATGATTTCTGGAGACTTGATGGGTTTATATTTTTTACAAATGAGGGAATAAAGGTGAGAATACATAAAACGCTTTTTAGACTGGCTTCTTCGTAGATAAACAAAGGAGTCATAGGTTGACTTAGTTCGATTTCCGCCTTACACTTTTTTGTTATTTTCCCAAGAAGCCGATAATTTAAGCCAGTCAAAAAAAGGCTTTTTATGTATTCTTACCTTAATAAATGCAAATTTTGTAGAAGATCTGTACTTTTTGTACTATTACAGTACGTTTACACATCAATTGGAGTAAGATTGTCATATCCATTACTTATACTTCAAATAAATCCTCTTAAAGTAGTACCCTACAAAAATTATAATATAAACATGGCATTTGCTTAATAATAGCATGTTTACATTAGATATATTTGAAGGTTTAAACTCCTTTTTGATATATATAACAGCATTTTTTATCATTGTTTGACTGTCTACGAAAATTTTAAGATTCAAAATTTCAAAGTCAATGCAACAAATTAATTAAAACAATAATGAATAAATTAATTAACAACTCATTGGAACATCTCATGCCAGCCGCTGTATGAGAGTATGTATGATCGTATCATGTACGCCAGAACTTTTATGAGCTGTGTAAAAAAAAGAAGCTTATAATATGCTCACGATTTGAGATGCTTATTAACAGTTTATATAGCAACAATTTAAATATAATTAAATCACACAATATTTTGTTTGTAGTCCATATCTGAATCTGGACAAAACACAAAACAAAAAAAAAAAAATGCGAATACAAAACATAATAATTTTTTAATTAATGAATGATAGCGTGACAAGTGATGATTTTAGTCCGCTCATTTTTTTTTGTATTCAAAGAAGTAATTGTTTTAATATGAAAGATTTATGGGTTTTAATGCGGGATAGATAATCTGTCATACGTTTGTGCATATATATTTATATGGACTTGTGAATAGACTTTCGTGTCAAGAAAGTGAGAAATTTTTATTGAATAGACAAAAAGAAAATAAGACATGGATTTCAAGGTTGCATTTTGACATTGACTTTAAAACATATGTATTCTATAAAACCCTTTTCGCCTTCCTGAGTTTTGACAGCAGCAAAGAACAATGAGAAGAACAGCTGATCTTCTTTAAGCTGTCAAAATTCATTGTAACCGAAGTTAATCGTTAGTAGGAACATGCTAAGAAATTTGATGACACTTGAAGGATTCTTGACCTTGACAAATTTCATGCACACCATATGGGAAATACGTTTGTGACAATATATGTGTAGCGATTGAATGTAACATGGCGCAATTATCTACGTCCAAAACCAGCTGATTAACTTAGAAGGAAATATGCAACTCTGTAATAGAACCTTATGCTGTCGTATAGAGTGCCTGTTTTTCACAAGTTTCTTAAATAGCCGAAATCATGCGAAACATTAATGGAAA